TTTGGAGCTATTTTCGAGATTTCGTCGTGGCACAGAAAATCGAGGATTTAACGGAATTCAAAAATTTTTTCGCAGAACTATTTCAAATAATAAGTAGATTCGTTCTACCGAAAAAAATTTTTTGGGGTTAGGTGCACTTTAAGTTAATTTTCTCAAATTTATTTACATTATGAACCCAGTTAAATTCACCTTGAGCAGTTACATTGATTTGTGTCTACTCTTTTTGCTAACCATTCCAACACATTTATGCTTGTTTTAATAATATTTAATATAGTCTATGGTATTTATATTCTGGTTGTCCTGGTCAACATTCACTTGCCCACATAACAGACAAGTTATCTGCCTTGTTGTTTATCTATTTGGATCTTGGCACCTTCTACAGAAACACTTTTTTGTCTAGTTGGTGGCAGCAGTATTTTGTTTGCTTTTGCATTTTGTATGCCTAATAATTTTCTCTATTTCAGATGACCAAAAAGCTGGCTAAGACATTGCAAAACACCAAATTTGCTGGCTCTGCAATCTTACCAGTTTCAGCAAAGCCTGGAGGGCCAGACTCTCCAGAATCCAATCCAGTTGGTACACAGGAGCTGATTGAGTTACTTTCATCCCTGGCTTACCTCCCTCACAGAGATCCATCAGGACCACTGGTATTTGCGGTTGACCACTGCTTCTGCATACGAGGCCAGGGCACTGTCATGACAGGGACAATCCTCAGTGGTAGTCTCAAGGTCAATGACACAATTGAGATTCCTTCCATGAAGATTACTAAAAAAGTCAAATCCATGCAGATGTTCAAGGCCTCTATAGTGGAAGCATCTCAGGGAGACAGGGTGGGAATTTGTGTTACACAGTTTGACCCAAAGTTGTTGGAGAGGGGTCTAGTTTGCAGCCCTTGTACGGTGCCAACAATCTTTGCAGCTGTTATCTCAGTGAAACACATACCCTATTACAAAGGAGCTATCAATTCCAAGTCAAAGTTCCATATTACGATTGGCCATGAAACAGTGATGGGTAAGCTCCAAGTGTTTGGCCTCCCCCCTGGGCAGGTAATGGATCCATCACAGGAGAGTCACACCTTTGATATTATGCAAGAGTATGTTTTTCAAGAAGAGGTGGCAGATCAGTCCAACCATTTAGTCAACACACCTGAAGATGCAAATGCAGATTCTGTTAACAAGCCTTCTTCAAGCCATCAATGGCTTTTCATTGAGTTTGAAACACCAGTGACTTGCCCAGAAAATTCCCTTGTTATTGGCTCACGTCTTGACACGGACATCCACCTTAACCTCTGCAGAATAGCCTTTCATGGAAGATTGTTAGTTCCCGTCAGAGACAAAAACTTTAAGGAGACTTTCCTGCCACAACTGAAGATTTACAAGATCAAGACGAGAGAAGGAGTTGTTGAAAGGATGGCTGACAATTATTCTGTTATTGCACACTCTCTTTTTAAGAAAGAAACAAACATTCAAACTTTTGTTGGCATGAAGATAAAACTCTCAACAGGAGAGCAAGGAAGTATTGAGGGTGGTTTTGGTCAAAGTGGTAAAGTGAAGATCAGGATTCCTTCTGGTTTGTTTTCTGATACTGTTTTGAAACTCTCTTCAAGTGAAAAGAAAAAGGGAGGGAAGAATAAAGCAGCCATGTTGACAACTTCAGAAGGGCCAACCAGTTCTGTTGAGCAACTTGCAAAGCCCATCAAAGCAATACTGGAATTTAAGCGATACAATTATGATCCTAACAAGAAAATGGTACAGTCTTGAGCCAAACTGTCTTGTATTTTATGTCCAGTGTGCTGTTCATGCATAATAGTAATAAGTTTTGAATGTCTCTTTGCACTGTCAGTTTGTTATGATGAAGATTGATGAATAGTATTTGAATATGGTCTATATACTATAACATGTAATGTAAAATACAGTAATAATTAACATCAGAGAACTAAGAAGTGCCAAAAAATGTACAATGAATGTGACAAAATGCAAATAATATTGACGATAAATATGTGCAAGCAAGCTCATATGAGAGACGTATACAGATATAAATATGATTCAATAATTAATCTTTGAACACTCCATTTACAAAAGATGATCATTTTTAAGCGATGACGTAATCGCTTTATGCTGGCAGGCATGCATTCCTTTGGATAGTGATTTCGCATAGTTTGTCGCGCTTATGTCAGTGCGCTTATGTCGCGCACTTTTTATCCCCCTGTGGAAGCGAAATGCACTCTGGGAGTTCCTTTGCTGCTTTCCTTTGCCGTTTGTAGGTTCAGCGGAG